CTCCACTCAGGGAGGTGCTGAAAAAAAAAAGAAAAAAAAAAGAAGGGGCTGGGAGTTTAGGTTGCTGGGGAACATGGCCAGTCTGAAAACAGCCCTCAGCCCCTCACCCAGGCTATCCAGGCATCCCAGCAGGACCTCCAACCTGATCCGGGACACCCTTCAGGGCAAACCAGCCGGCCTCCATCAGTGCACCAGGCCTTTATATATACTAATAAAAGGGTAATATGCCAATTAGACTGGGAGACCTTCCAGGAGATCTTCGGGACATTCTTCTGGATAAAGCTATGGTGGCGGGGCCAAGATAGAGGCAGTTAGAGGCCGAGAGGGGAGGACAGTTGTGGGTGATCAGGCTGGTGGAGGGTGGGGCCGTTGGAGGTAAGCAGACCAGCAGGGGGGCCAGTTGGGGATGAGCAGGCCATCAGTGGGGGTCAGTTGGAGGTGATCAGGTCAGTGGAGGGGGGCAGTTTGGAATGAGCAGGCCACCAGGGGGCAGTTGGGGGCGAGCAGGCCAGTGGGGAGAGAAGGTGTGGGCGAGCAGGCCAGCATGGGGGCCATCAGGCTGACGAGGAAGGGCAGTTGGGGGCGAGCAGCCCGGCAGGCAGAGTGGTTAGGGGCAATCAGGCAGGCAGGCAGGCAGGCAGGCAAGTGAGCGTTAGGAGACAGCAGTCTTGGATTATGAAAGAGATATCTGACTGCAGGTTTAGGCCTGATCCCTGTATACTGGTCCTCTATAATAAAAGGGTAATATGCAAATTGACCTAACGACTGGTTGCTATGTTGTGCACTGATCACCAGGGGGCAGATGCTCAATGCAGGAGCTGCCCCTATGATGAGTGCCCTCCCATAGGGGAAAGCTCTCAGCCAGAAGCCGGGCTCACGGCTCACAGCTGGCGAGTGCAGCAGTGGTGACGAGAGCCTCTCCCACCTCTGAGAAAGCCTTAAGGATGTCCAACTGACAGCTTAGGCCCTCTCCCTTTAAGGACTGGGCCTAAGCTGTCAGTCGGACATCTCCTGAGGGCTCCTGGACTGTGAGAGGACGCAGGCCAGACTGAGGGACAACCCCTTTGAGTGCATGAATCTTGTGCACTGGACCTCTATATTATATGTGTGTGTATACATATGTATATATAAGTTTATGTATATATGTATATATTTCTACGAATCTTTGTTTACTACTTTGTAAGTAAGGAATCTGTGGAAAGAAAACTTATACCTGCTCCTCTTAGAAGAGAAGAAAAATACATGCTGCTTTTTTACTTGAACGCAATTTAAAACTAGATATGATTTGAAAGCAGTGATTATTTTAGAAGGTGCATTCTGTTCACACTAAAATGGACCATATATGTCATCCAATAATTCTACCATTATGGTTGTGGGAAAGTGTTTTAAAAATTATACATCAAAGAAATAGTTCTGTTAAAATCTCTCTTACTGGGAACTAAATTAACCAGAGTTGTTGTGCAGAATGATAGCCTAGAGAATTGCCCATTTTATAGAGGCTTATATACCATCATAAATACATCTATATATCTATATCTATATCTATGTCTATGTCTATGTCTATACCTATAACTATATCTATATATACTAGGCAAGAAAATAAAGCCATACAACTCTACAAATATCTTATTAGATTGAATATGAGATTAAAGCATAGGTATAATGCACCAAAATTTATCCTATAATTACCACTTGAGCAATCATTCCACAAAGACAAAAGGTAAAGTATAATTGTCAATTTTAGGCCAATCTGAGAGACTCAGCAAAATATTAAACAAGAGCACAGGCATTGTAACTAACATTCAACTTGGAACTGATTCTCTTAAAAACATCATGACTTCCAACACATAATGCTAAAACACACAGAAAATAAAATCAGCAAGGTACTCATTTCTGATGAAAATAAAATAAGAGTCTTAAACTTTAAATAAGAATACTTAAAAAAAAATTTTAAGTGACATGAGCATTGTGATATACCACAGGACAAAAATGTTTTAATGGTTAAATAAGTTTTGTACAAGTTAAGGTCCCTCTTAAAAATTCCCACCACAACTTATAGTATTAAAGACTCTCAATAGTCCTATAGTAAAGAAACACTGCTTAACTATGTTTAGCTCTGATTTTCTCTACTTTATTTAGCCATAGAGCCTTTTTTTTTAGTGCAATAATAAGCAACATTTACTAATTGCATACTAAGGATGCTTTATAGGAATTAATATTTAATCCTCAAAACAACTCAGAGGTAAATGCTATTATCATCTCCATCTTACGATGGGCAAACTAAGTCAGAAAAAGGAAAAATATCTTCCCCGAGGTCGCACAGCTAGTGAAGTGTTGGAGCTGGGATTTGAACTGGGATGGCCTGGCTTCAGAGTCTATTACTAACCATTAGGCAATAATGTTTCTATATAATATTCATTAGAATCTAAGAGACTGATTTCTTTCCCTGGAATTCTTATTAACCAATATTGACACATGATTTGTATCTATGCAAAAAGGAAAAAAAATAACAGAAAAAAAAGTGAGTAAATAGAAATCCTAATAGTTGATTCAGTTGTATTTTCCTCTTTTTTTGTCCAAACTTCCTCCAAAAAAAACTAACAGCAGTAATGAATATTTACTGAATGCTTATACTCTGCAAGGTATGTACTGAGTATATATATGCATTAATTGCTCACTTTCCATCCCTTTGAAATGGGTATGATTATCTCCATTTTATTATGAGAAAGTCAATACAAAAATGTTAGCTGTTCTCAAAGCACAGTCCATGAGGCCAAAGCTGTTCTCCTAAAAATACTAAAATGTTAGTTGCCTTTTTCACTGTAACAGCTTTTTATACGGTAGCAGACAAGCAATGGTCATAAAACTACGGGCACCTTCACACAAAGCGCACACTAGCAGCACTGCACTAGTGGTCACTTGTATTTTCCACTCACAGTTTAAAACAGGTTTGTTTTACTTCAGATGAAGCAGTAGAATTAATCTCAACTCGTGAATACACACTGTATTAATATTCTTAGTGATGGCATGGGAAATACACACTGAGCACCTTCCTGCACATCCAAGTACAATGATGGACTTAAGAAAAAGCACTTACAAAATTGTTTGAATCAACGGCTTTTTTTTCATGAAATATCCTATTACTTGAAAAAAATTGCTGAGCAATCCAACTAAATTATTCAGATTTGGGTATTTAACATTTTCTCAAAAACAAATGAAGCCTATCACTTTAAGGAAAATATCTGATAATATTTGGTATCACTGATAACATTTGACCTTTCAAGCAAAATTAGAATTTTATAAAATTTCTATCCCATTAACTTCAAAATTCACCAATATTTAAAAATTTCTTGATGAGGTTGGTGGTGATATTAATAGGTATGTATTTTTTTAATTGGTTTAAAACTGAGCACAAATTCAATGCAGGGCAAAAATAAATAAAATAAAATATAAAATAAAATAATGAAATAAATAAAATATAAAATAAAATAAAATAAAATAAAATAAAATAAAATAAAGGGGAGGTTTGCTAGAAGATTCTAGAAAAAGAGATTGTTCCTGTTTCAGGAAAGAGGTCAGAAGCCAGTCCTCCCTTTCTGAGCAGTGCAGCATGTGGATATGCAGCCTGAAACTACTGCAATAATTATGATCCCAAAGGGAAGCCAACCTCATGGTGAAGCTGACACTGCAGAAGGCGGAAGAGAAGTGGAAAGAAATTACGTCACTGGCAATGTAACTGAGCAGCTGGATTAAATCACTCCTGAAACCCAGCCTACCCAATACAGCCTCTTAACTGGAAAAACAATCTGAACTGGGCACTCTGTTACAACATAAAGAATCCTATTTTGTATTGCATGTAATATTATTATATTTAAGATAATTTTTCTTAAATAATTGATGTTTATTGCATGTAACATTATATTTAAAATCGTTTTTCTTGAGATATTAAGGTTTATTGCATGTGACATTATTCTATTTAAGATCGTCTTTCTTAAAATATTAAAACATAAAAATAAGTGAGTTATAGGAAATACATATATGTGATAGATATACATATATATCATATACATATGCATATATGTCATGTATACTAATCCATAATTTGTATGTTTAAAAATTTTTCAGTCTGTGATCTGTCTTATAACTTTATATGTTGTTTATTACTAAACAGAATCTTAACATTTTTACAAAAAGAATCCTATTTTGAGGCATTTCAATAAAATCCAATTAAACTAAAAAAGTTTTTTAAGAATATAAATGTTAACTGGTACAACCACTGTGGAGAACAGTATGGCGTTTCCTCAAAAAACTGAAAATGGAACTCCCATTTGACCCAGTAATCCCACTTCTAGGAATATATCCCAAGAAACTAGAAGCACCAATCAGAAAGGATATATGCACCCCTATGTTCATAGCAGCACAATCTACAATAGCCAGAATTTGGAAACAGCCTAGGTGCCCATCAGCAGATGATTGGATCCAAAAACTATGGTACATCTACATAATGGAATACTATGCTGCCATAAAAAAGAAGGAATTCTCATCATTTGCAGCAACCTGGATGGAATTGGAGAACATCAGGCTGAGTGAAATAAGCCAATCAATGAAAGAGAAACACCACATGACCTCACTCATTTGTGGATGATAAAGAACATTATAAATTGATGAACCAAGAGACAGATATAGAGACAGTAAAGCAACAGGCAGACTGTCAAATTACAGCGGGGAGGGGAGGAAGATCTGGGGGAGATAATAGATCAACCGAAGGACTTGTGTACATGCATATAAGTACAACCAATGGACATAAAACTCTGGGGAGGGAGGGGATGTGTGGGAGGGAGGGGGGGGGGCAAAAAAAAATCAATAAAATATATATTAAAAAAAATACAAAAAAAAAGAATATAAATGTTATAGTCTTATAATTAAACAGAAACTTGTACTGGGAAAATCCACACTGAACTTGTATAGTTTCACCAGAAAGTAACATTATTTTTAATTACCTTTTCAGAGTTCTTGTATTTTTCCCATCCTTTTAGCATTTTCAACCATTTAGTAGTTCTTTCAATTTCCAGGTGCTTTTGCTAAAATAAAATCGAAATTTATTGTTACCATTTGTTCAAGGCTTCTTTACTTACAAATTTCAAAACAATGTCAAAGAAAATACTGCTAAAAATGACTGCTAAAAGAATTATGCTATATTAAATAGCAAATATTCTATTATTAAATTGTATTAATAATTTTATAGTTGTATCAATGGAATTCTATAGGAAGCAGTTATAGGGTTAAGCCTTCAACTGACCTGCTGGCAAAGTCGCAAACAAGTGCCAGTCTGAAGGGTACAGCCCTCTAAGCATAATTAAGCTTGATCTTGTGACTGATCCTAAGTCTTTCCTGGGTAGCTAGTGGGCTGTGGGAGGGGCAGCAAGTGCTGCCAAAACAAGTCAAACTTACAAGAACATTGTAAATTATCTTGCTTTCCCCTGACTATAAATAAAACATCAGCTTTCCAGTCTGAATCTGTTCTGTGGCCTCAGCAAGGCACAGAAGATCCACCTAGAACCTAGACCCATCTTATTCTCTTGTCTTTTTCTTCATCCTTCACCAGCCTCCCTCAGGCTCGCCGAATCCTTGGCTATGCTGGCGAAGCACAGAATTCCATAGCGAAAATTAAAGATACACAGGAGGTATTTCACTGGGGTAGGTAATGAGAAAGGAATTGTTGAAATTTTCCAACATGCTCTATTCTACAAATTTAAACCAAAAGGAAATTTTAAAATATTTTGAACTATCTTTTAACTACAAAAACACAACTTCAAAATTTCATTTTCTTCCCTTTTCCCCCACCCCACACATTTTACTGAGTTCTAGCATTGTAATGTTTTCAGTGACAGAATTGGTTTTTTAAAGAATTGGGTATTTCTTGATTTGTGGAGTGAATAGTATTTAATTATCACTATGCTACTGAAAAATTATACAAAAGGAACACTTGTATAAAGAAAGTTTGCCATTTGCTCAGGGTGACTGGTATGGAAACATGCTATGACAGGGACTGTCACAAAGTATCAGGAAGGATGAGAGTGAGGTTATGGTGGAAGGAGTCATCAAACCCGCCCGATGGATGGCAGAAGATGATCCTTTCATAAGGTATGGAAAGATTATCAAGATTTTCATCATGTGCAATGAGGGGAAGAATACTCTAAGAAGCATGAGTGGATGGAGTTCTGAGATAATCAGCATTAGATGAGGCTGAATGGAAACAGTCTTGTAGGTCACACTAAATTGAGACCTAGAGCAAAGCTGGGGAATGGGGCAGGTGGCACAGAAAGTGCTTCTTCCTCACTTCTTTGGCTGCCAGGAGAGGTATATTGTTTTCCCAAGGAACTGGGCTTTTTGTCCAATCTCCTACTCACTCCTAAGGTGGTAGAGTGACTGTGATTAGTAAGTTTAGAAAAAGAACTGGGCATACAGCCTTCAGTCCCTATAACTCTCAGAAAACGTATTTGTTTTCCCTCCTTTCAGGCAAGAAAAAACACCCTCCTCGGCCAAGAAGTCTGTGGTGACCTTAGCCTATGATCAGGCGAACAAGTCTGTCTCCCTTTATGGGTCAGAACACCTGCACATCTAATCCATGCTCTTCTCTAGGAAAGCTGCTGGGATGTTTGCTGTTTTCCCACTGCCCAGGTCCCGTGCTGGGCACAGAGTAGGCACTTAATTTTTCATTTTCATGAAAACAAATCCTAGCATAATTTTCTCTTATAACTGAGCTAAGATTCTGCTATTTTGTTCATTTTTCTCAATCCCTATATTTTCCTCACAGGAAACAGAAGCACAAAAGATTTAAGTGACTGTCCAAATTCCCCCATTTAGTAAGTTCAAGTTTGAAGGGGGCTTGAGATTGGGCAACTTGGCTTCAGGACTTGCACTTTTAGCTCCGCACCTATCTCTTGTTTCCATCGTGGCCCTGCTCTAGCTCAGGCAATGGCACTCCTGGAAGAAGGCAGTAGCTTCTACTGACTGTCTATATTCCAGCCTCAAACAGGCAAGGCAGGTGACTCATGCCCACCATCAATATTTTCAGACTTAAAAGGTTTTATGGGCATAAAATCCCAAAGAAGAACAGTGCACCATATACTTAATATATGCTTCACCAAAATCCACCCTGAATTTAGAAAAAAATTATCACCAATTAAGAATATTTCCTAGAATTTTACTTTTAGGCTTATTTTAAAAACTCTTTAATTACTTCTTAACTCTTTATAAAATTTTGATGGGTTTTTCATAATAAAAGATGATCACTTGTGAGCAAAAGGTATTGTTATAAATTCCATTTTTCAAAAGACAGCGTATTCTTCATTATATTATTAGTGATAAAATGTTGCAGATGGTTCTAGAAATATGTTTAATTTTAAAACTCAGTGGGGCACTGAAATCTAATTAATGTTTCTGCTCAATGTGACTTTAGAGAAGGCGAAGCTATGAAAAATTAAGATTGATCTATGCTGCCATTTGGTTTTTTTTGGCACTTCCTTCCCTGACTTATTCGAAGCATATCCTCTTCTCCACCAACAGGAAAGCATGAAATAATTCAAGCCAACCCAGAGTACAATAACACACTTAGCTAGGAACAACCCTGCTGAGATCTAGCCTGTCTCTTGCTATCTTTCATTTTTATGACTATGAGTTATCAATTAATCACATTAGGAAGCATTCTCTTTCATAATGGCACTCTTTAGTATTCTAATGCTTATTATTTAATTTTAAATGCTATAAATTCTCACATGCAAAGACCACACACACACACACACACACACACACACACACACACACTTTTAAGAACCATGAAGTGTGATTTTCTTTCCCCGGAAGCAAAAAACAAAAATGTTACACCTTGGGAAAAGCTCCCAGGCCATAGGATTTTAAAATTATGTATCAGTAGTTGAATCTGGTTTAAATGTTAACTCCATGATACCGTCAGTTCAGCTACATAAGACTTGAATGCATGTGAATGTCTTTCCCCACCCTCAGCTCATGAATCTATAATTCATGGATAAAATATACTACTTTATCACCAAACATGCTACAGCTGACTATTCCAAAATTAATTGAAAACCATGTGACAAATGTGAACTCAAGTGCTCTAGAAAAACAGACTGAGGAACAGCATCTAGCCATGAACAAAATAACACCAACACAAACTAGAACAGCAAATTAGAATTTCAACCTACACGTTCAGCAAGTACTTGAAATTCAACACATCCAAAACCATTTCCCTCCCCATGCTGCTATTTCTCTCCTCTTTCCTATCATAAATTAACAGCGTCACTACTCACTAAGTCAAACAAACTAAAATCTTAAGTTGTTCTCAATCTTCATTTTACCTTCCTTCCCACATCCATACTACACTCTGCTGGTCCCATCCATGTCTCATGTTTCCATGTCCTCTGCTCTAATTCAGGCGATCTCAATTCCTAGATGAAAGCATTAACTCCTCAACGGTAACCCTGATTATCTTCAAAAAAAAGCCTCTATACTGCCACCACAATTTTTAAAAGATGTCCCATTTTAAAATCCTTTAATGGCCACCCATTAATCATCTACAAAAATGTTCCACATGGATGGGTCTTCACAATATGGCCTCAACCCACCTTCTTGCTACTTTTATGATTTGTCATCTTGAACTATTTGTCATTAACCCATAATGCTATTAATTGGATGTGTTCCTTAACAACTCTACTCAGAGGTCTCACCATACATTGATAATCCCTGTCTGAATCAATTCTGATTCTGATAGTGGTAAATGATGTTTGTTTTTTCTAATCCAATGATGTCTTCTGTATGATTAACTGACATTTTTTTCTATTAAAAAGGACTGCCTTCCTTGCTCCTCCACATTTTTAAGTAGCATTATGATACAAGGAGTTGTTTTATCAATATATTGTAATCTACTATCATTGTTCTTTTTCAAGTTCCAATTGTCCCAAATTTAGCTGACTCCTCTTATTTGGATGGAGATTTCTCTCTTCAAGTGGGTCCTTTAGACATATTCTATCTGGCACAAAATAATTCAGGCTCACTTTATACACTTTCTACCTAGACTTACAACAGCCATTTCTTTAAGAAACAGTAGTTATTTTTAATGGGGAATGATACTCAAAAATTAAGATCTGGGTACTATATATGCTCATCATTGCAATTTTTAAAGTCATATAGGAGACCCGGGTATAAGAAACTTCTACTCCCCTAAGGCTATGACAACAACATGTATCAAAAGGAAAATGATCCTAGGTCTTAGTCTCCATCCTACATTCTCTATATCTTTCCATTACCTCCACTGACTACAAAAATGGTACATTGTTGTGTACTCCCCTCTCCATTACAAAGGGTTATTTGCAGCAAAGAACTAAACTTACATTTGAACTGTACATTCAATTATCTTAAATTGCTGCCCCTAGGAGTCATAACTGCCCCTTCTCCTATTTGAGCAAGGATGGTGTAAAGACTAAAACTAGACCAGTATCTCGTTTGTTACCTCTCAGCCTCCATATATTTTTGACCATACGCAGGGCCAGTAAGTACTTAACAACTGTTGATTACCCACGTATTAGCTTCTCTTCTATTTGGTCCAAGGCTCCTCCCACTATTAACATGATGAATAATCCAGATGGTAAAGGTTAAACACACACACACACACACACACACACACACGCATAAATGGATATTAAATAGCTTCTCTTCCAGAATAAGAAATCTTAGAACTTTAATGAAGTTTACATCTTCAGGTACTTTTTTTGTCTCTCCTGCATTAGGAAGCCTGACAGGATTAAGTTGACCAGAGATACGAACACCTACACCTCACCAGCAGAGGTCAGGAGAGGATAAGAAGAAGGAAAGCTTTGTGTTTTGACAGAATAACATTGAGATGTTATCCATCGTGTATTTTAAGATTTCAAACCACATAAAATTAAAATGTAGTTTCAAAAGGTAGGAATAGACTCCCATATTTTGTAAGCCATGCAAAATATTGCACTCATAAAGGAATTGATGAACCCACAAAGACATAGTTTTTACATATCTTTTTCTCCTTATAAAAAACATCAATAAGCTCAAAGAAGCAATATAACTCATTAATAATATTGTTCTCTGTACAGAAAATGTAATAAGTGTGTTTGTATATTTGTTTAATTGCCTATTTGGAGGAATCCAAAGCATTTTGTAAATATCAACACTAATCCTTGTACAATGGGCTATCCTTATTTTAAACAGAATATCCTTATTTTAAAAAGAGAACTGCCTTCCATACAATACTATATTGGCAAACTTGAAACTAAAGTTATGATTACTTGACTGTGTGTTAGCGTACAGGCTTTCTAAGTGACAATAAGTGCATGCTTCAAGTGTATGCTTTGTAACGATTAATAAACATCTTAGACATCAGCAAGGCTATCATTTCCAGTGAGTTTATTCAACAAAGTCATACATGTAGAATTTTCTATTAGTTTCCTCAAAATGGCACTTGGCCATGAGGACTGGGCAGTCATGAAGAATACATAAACTGAAGTTAAATCAGAAAAATTGGAGGAAATCCTGATAAACTAAAAAGTTTGCAGCCTTATATTGCTCTGCCCATGTCTAAAGTTCCCCCAAAATTATAAAAGGCAGGTAATGCAATATGAGAGCAGTTTATATATAAAGGCACAATGGAATTCAATCAGCAGCCTCAGAATTCTGCCCTTCTCTCAATATAAGACTGACAAACAAATATAAAATTAATTTTTTGTTAAATTATTAAGAAATGCATAGGTAATTTTTTTAGTGATTTCCTGTTATATTAAACTCTTGAGATTAAAGAACCAATTAATTACAAGCTTGACTGCATTGTACAGGCATATATATATTAAAAGGGACTCCTGCAATAATGTTCAAAAAAAATTTTAATTTAAGAATAAAAAGGTATTTTTTTAAAGTCTATCTAAAGTATGCATCATCTAAAATACAGCTTTTGTGTTATCTTTCTTCTTTTCTTTACTGTTACATTTCTGCAATCTAAATCGCTGGATCCAAGACTTTTGGATTTCCTGAACCAGGAATTTATTTTTAAAAGAGAAGGAGATAAGCATTACAGAGAGAAGTCAATAATGAGTTGCCAGATTTCTATTTTGCACACTTCAACTATAATTTGTTCCAAGATATCTTCCAACTCTTCTCTCCATGATGTCTCATATAAAGGGTATTTAACATTCGAAGGGACAATCTTGGCAGTCTTTAAATCAACATATTTCTTTATAAAGCAGTTATACCCTTCATCTGGTCATTCACTCAGCCTCTACTTAGTGCACAAATACTAACATACTCTGTGCAATACTCTAGGTTCTGGGGATACAACAGTGAACAAAGAGATTTAAAAAAACACCTCACAGAGATTACATCCTAGTGGGAAACTCATAAATTAAAAAAATAAGTAACATATTTACTATTTGAAATAATAATTGATAAAGAGAAAAATAACGGAGAGAAGAAAATGAGTATTGTGGGGGACAGTTCCCAATGAAGAAATGAAGGTGAAGAAGGTATTTTTCTGAAGGTGACATTTGAGACCGAAAGTAACAAGGGACCGAGACTTGTCACTATCAAGGGAAGAGCATCCTGAAAAGGAAGCAGCCAGTGCAGAAGGCCTGATGGAAGGACTGTAGTGGGCATGCTCAGGAAGCACTAAGGATGCCGGTGAGTGAGCACGGGAAGGCGTTAGGAGACCATATGAGACTTTACACAAGCCAGGGCATACAGGGTTTTGCAGGCCATTATAATGACTTCCCCTCTTCCTGTGTTTCAATTAGAGAATGACATGATAGTACTTATTTTAAGAGGATCATTCTGGCTTTCTGGTGAACAGAGAGACTCGGCTGGGGGGGGAGGGGGGGTACGCGGGCGGGGGCGTGAGGGGGAAGAGGAAAGGTGGCAGAAGTAGGAAGTTGGAAGCTCCAAAAGAGATACTGCAGTGGACCAGGTGGCAGAAGTGAAGCTGGTGATCAGATTCTGAATACTTTTTGAAGGTTAAGAGATGAAAAGAGCAGTAAGAAAAAGTCAAAGCTAACTCATAAGTTTTTACACTAACTAGAAGAATGGAGTTCCCATTTACTGAGATAAAGAAGTTTATAAATAGAAAGAATTTGAAGAGAATAACAGAAACCCCAGTTTGAATATTTATCAGACACCTAGATGTATATAGTCAGTCAAATATCTAAGTCTAGACATTGAAATATTTATGCAAAAATATACATGTCATCAACATACAGCTGGCATTTAAAACCAAAAGCTAGATGAAATTACCATAGAAGAAACACAGATGGGAAAAAGAAGTTCAAGGTTGAGCCAGGAGGCACCTTGAAGTGTAGATCAAGGAGGAGAGGAAAAGCAAGCAGAGCAAACTGAGAAAGAGCAGTCAGTGAGGAAAAAAGAATATGTAAGTTCTGAAGTCCAAGCAAAGAGAGTATGTCAGAATAGATAGCAATCAACCATGTCAAATGCTGCTGCTAGGTCAAGAGGAAGTCTAGGAATTGACTACTGGATGTACCAGTAGAAAGGTAATTAGAGACCCCCGATAATAGCAATGGGGGAGGGGGTAGGAGTTAAAAACTAATTGGAATGGGTATAAAGAAGAACTGCAGGAAAGAATATAGGAACCACTTTCAAGAGTAGAGCAACAGAAAATGCTGTAGGAATCAGAGCAGTAGATGAGGATGAAATAGGGTCAATAGAAGATTGGTGTTTTTGTGAATTTATTTTTTAATGGTAGTAATAATATATTTTACTCTAATGGAGACAATTAAGTAGAAAAAGAATGAATTCATGAGAGAGAGGGAAAAATCCCTCGAATGATGTTCCTGAATAAACAACATACACATGCACAGGAACTAGAACTTTAGGCACAAATGATGACAGGTGGGTAGGTGTGGTTGTGGAAGCCCAGGGAAGTTCTCTTTGAATTGCTTCTGATTTCCTTATGAGAAACTAGAGGCCTAGTGCATGAAATTCGTGCATGGAGGAGTGGAGGGAGTCCCTCAGTCCCGCCTGCACCCTCTCCAATCTGGGACATCCCTCATAATCCGGGGCCACTACCTCCTAACCACTCACCTTCCTGCCTGATTGCCCTTAACCACCTCTGCCTGGCAGCCTGATTGCCCCCTAACCATTCCTCTGCCAGTCTGATTGATGCCTAACTGCTCCCCTGCCAGCCTGATTGCCCCTAACTGCCCTTCCCTTCCATCCTGGTCACCCCTAACTTCCCTCCCCTGCAGGCCTGGTCCCCCTTAACTGCCCTTCCCTGCAGGCCTGATCCCCCCTAACTTCCCTCCCCTGCAGGCCTGGTCCCCCTTAACTGCCCTCCCCTGCAGGCCTGGTCCCCCTCAACTGCTCTCCGCTGTAGGCCTGGGTCACCCCCACAACTGCCCTTCCCTGTAGGCCTGGTTGCCCCCAACTTCCCTCCTCTGCTGGCCTGGACACCCCTAACTGCCCTCCCTTGCAGGTTTGATTGCTCCCAACTGTCCTCCTCATTGTCAGTGGCAACCCAAGTCTCTTGCTCTCTCCAGCTCCGTTGCTTCGCCATTTTTATTGGGATTTATTTATCTTCTATAACTGAAACTTTGTAGCCTTCAGAGGAGGCCAGGGCCAGCCAGGGCAGGTGGGAAGCTTGGCCTTATCCATTGCTGGGGGCAACCCACGCCTTCTGCTAGCTCTATCTCTGTGGCCACCAACATCTTGGTGGGGTTAATTTGCATACTTGCTCTGATTGGCTGGTGGGTATAGTGGAGTGATGCTCAATTTGCATATTCCTCTTTTATTAGTGTAGATGGCATTCAGAATCAGGAATAGATTTTATTCCTCTGGTAAACCCAATTCACCAATAACAGTCAGTAAATGCAGAGCTGGCCTTACCCGTTCCACTGCTGCATTATGATATGGGAGCTCCTCCTCACTGCAGAGAAAAAAAACAGTACATGTCAAACAGTTTTAGAAAACTTTGAAAAAATGATAAACCAATAGGTATACATGATGTACAACCATCATTTTGATTATAAACATTAAATAGCTCCCATTCCACCTAATTCCTTATAAAATAAGTAGCTATATGTAACCACACTGTCCCTTATCTTCACATTTCTAGACCTGCATTGTCTAATAAAGTAATCTCTAGGCACATGTGGCTATTTAATTTTAAATGTGAATTAAAATTAAATTAAAAGTTCAAATACTCAGTTTCATGCTATAGTTCACCAACCTTCATTCTCTGGTTCAAACCGTGTCTATAATATGTAAATGATTGCTTAAAAAATTAGTATAAGGAGCTGAGACCGGTTTGGCTCAATGGATAGAGCGTCGGCTTGGGGACTGAAGGGTCCCGGGTTTGATTCCGGTCAAGGGCATGTACCTTGGTTGCGGGCATATCTCCAGTAGGGGGTGTGCAAGAGGCAGCTGATCGATGAACTCTCTCTCATCGATGTTTCTAACTCTCTATCTCTCTCCCTTCCTCTCTGAATAAAATCAATAAAATATATTTTTTTTTAAATTAGTATAAGGAAATAAAACTGCCTCCAACAAATTTATGAATTAAAAAGGAAACTTCACCTTTTATTCGATAATTAAGGAAATCTTTATTTGTGAAAAACATCAATTTTTAATATACAATAACAGATAAGTTTCACTTTTCTGACAGTAATTTTTGTGCTATCACCTTTAATATAAAATATTCTAAGATTCTTACATCACTGTCAGTAACATAAAAACAATTTGCTATCTATAAACAAAGTTATATGCTTCAAGTTGCTATCTCAGAATAATTTATATTTTGGCAATGATATGTACACATTCTTGCCTCAGTTTCTCTTGAGATCACATAATACCACTTTGAAGAGTGTAATGCATTCGTATTTAAGAGTCCAGTATTTGCCAAAACTGGTTTGGCTCAGTGGATAGAGCGTCAGCCTGCAGACTGAAAGGTCCCAGGTTCGATTCCGGTCAAGGGCATGTACCTTGGTTGCGGGCACATCCCCAGTGGGGGTGTGCAAGAGGCAGCTGGTCAATGATTCTCCCTCATTGATGTTTCTAACTCTCTATCCCTCCTTCTCTCTTCCTCTCTGTAAAAAATCAATAAAATATATTTACAAAAAAAAAAAAAAAAAAGAGTCCAGTATTTAAGAGTAGCAGAGTTTTGCTATCCTGATGACTGGAGTCCTTAGGTGAACCATGAAGTTACAGCCATGGAACTGACAAAAAGGTGTAATAGTTGAGTAAAGTGATAGTCCAAATCCTCATTTCACAGATATGGAAACTAACATTTTCACTTAGTCACACTTCGCCTAATGTAGAGATGTTCAGGATTATCTAACCCATTCATATGATGATATGACTTCTGGTTTAAAAGTGTATCTATGCATTCTTTTACTGATAGGAGAGGACTTGTTGACACCACTGGAATGTACTTCCTATGTAATTAGGTCAGCAGCGACACCTTGAATAGTATTTCTGGGATAAGTGGACTGCTCTGGGCAAGACCAACCTTTTGTACAGCTGATTTGAGCTGATTCTGACAACTATTTATTTGAACATTCTGAACCTATGGCTGCCTATCACAGGAGAAGTTTTTTGAAGTTGCTGGGTGAACGTTTTTGGTGTTCTCCTATTTACTAAACAAGACTGACAGACCTATTCTCAACCCAAGTTTTGCACTTGGCTGTGGAATGATGCTGATCATCTATCTGCTCAGGCTGCATGGCCTGTGTTGGGCAGGTCCTAAAATCTAACTGCTTTGTGAAAGTCAAGATGAGACAAAACTTCGCATAGCATCCCACTGCACATTAACCTCAAATCATGCTATTGTAATTATGGGGGCAGAATCTATCTATATAAAACCCTAATATGCAAATAGACCTAACAGCAGAACGGATGGGAGGCATGGCCAGCGAGCAGGTGGCGTCAGGCCAGCCAAGGCAAGTGCCAGCAGGCAGAGAGAGATGACTAGTGGTGGTAGCAGAAGGCAGGGTCGGCCAGTGGGCAGCACCAGGCTACCAGCCAAAGCGGGTGCCAGCGGGGGAACCCCAATCACCCAGCTCAATGTCCCATAGATTGGCCCTGATCACTGGCCAGGCTTAGGGACCCTACCCTATATACTGGGAACAGTATCTTAGATTTAAAAAATTAAAACCTGGCAAGGCTACTCTAACACTGAAAAAAACGGATGATGCAGTGATGACATGCATGGACTCTGGCTTGCACATTTTGTCAGCCCTGATTCTGACACTTATAAACTGTGTGACAAAGCCAATTACTTAACTTCTCTCTGCTTCAGTTTTTTTTCACCTATAAGATGAGGAGAATGGTACTGCCGCTTCAGAAGGATCATGTTATGTACTACTTCTCATAATCAGGACAAAAAATGCAGCTACCCATACAACAGCAAGATGCCTTTCACCTGTATGAAAAATATGGTCACTGGTGCATGCAGCAGCCTGGATAACGAGAGGGATGTCCGACTGCCAGTTTAGGCCCATAAACCAGCAGTTGGTCATTCCCTGAGGGGTCCCAGATTGCGAGAGGGAACAGGCTGAGTTGTGGGTCTAACCCCTGCCCCCATGCACGAAATTCATGCTTTGAGCTTCTATTATACATATAACCACAGTCAGCCTAGGCAAAATCCAGGAGTACACAAACCTGGTCTTAGATTTCCAATCAACCCAATATTTCATAGTTACCCAGTGGCATCCCCACTAGGATCTGATTGCCAATCCAGTCCCCATATCATGACACCCAGTTACTGAACTCCTACTATCCAAGCATTTTTAAATGTTCATTTTAAATTTTATTTATTTAAAAATTAAGAAACAATTGACATATAAAAATTTATTTCTTTTAGGCTATAAGGATTTGATGTATGTATATATACTGCAAATGATTATATTGGGTTTAGTTACATCCATCAGCAAACATGCTTACATATTTTTTTTCCTTATGATGAGAACTTTTAAGATCTACAATATACAATACAGTATTATTAACTATTGTCACTATGCTGTATATAACATCCTCAGTACTTACTTACAACTAAAAGTTTATATTTATTGAACACCTTCACCCCATTAACCCTAGCCCTCAGACATATGCCCTTGACCAGGAATCAAATCTGCAACCTCCTGGTGCCTGGGACAATACCCAACCACCTGCGCTACACCAGCCAGGGCCCCAATATCATTTACTAAAGAGACATTCTTTCCCCATTGCATATTCTTGTCTTCTTTGTCATAAATTAATATGTGGGTTTATTTCTGGGCACTCTATTCTGTTCAATTGATCTATGTGTCTGTTTTTATACCAATACCATTCTGTTTTGATTATTATAACTTTGTAATATAGTTTGAAATCAGGAATTGTAATTCCTACAGCCTTGTTCTTGTGCAAAATTGCTTTGGTATTTTGGGGTCTTTTGTGATTATATAAAAATTTTAGAATTATTTATTCTGTTCCTGTAAGATAGGCCATTGGAATTTTCATAGGGACAGTTCATTGCTTTAGGTAGAATGGACATTTTAACAATGTTAATTCTTCTAATCCATGAGTATAGAATATCACTGCACTCATTTGTATCTTCTTCCATTTCTTTCATCTATGTCTTATAGTTTTCAGAGTACAGGTCTATTACCTCCTTGGTTAAAATGATTCCTAGATATTTTATTCTTTTTTATGTAACTGTAAATAGAATTGTTCCCTTAATTTCTGTTTCTAATAGTTACTGGTATATAGAAACACAACTAATATTTTTGTATTTTGAATTTGTATCCTGCAACTTTACTGAATTTGCTTATTAGTTCAGATTTTTTTGGTGGAGTCTTTAGGCTTTTCTATATATAAGATCATATTATCTGCAAATAGAGATAGTTTTATTTTTTCCCTTCTGATTTGGATGCCCTTCTCCCCCCCCCCTCCCCCCCTTGTCTTTTTGCTGTGGCTAGGACTTTCAGTCCTATATATTGAAAAAAAAGTGGCGAGAGCCGAAACCGGTTTGGCTCAGTGGTAGAGCATCAGTCTGCGGACTGAAAGGTCCCAGGTTCGATTCCGGTCAGGGGCATGTACATTGGTTGTGGGCACATCCCCGGTAGGGGGTGTGCAAGAGGCAGCTGGTCGGTGTTTCTCTCTCATCAATGTTTCTGGCTCTCTATCTCTCTCCCTTCTTCTCTGAAAAAAATCAATAAAATATATTTTTTTTTTAAAAAGTGGCGAGAGTGGGCATTTGATCTTAAGAGGAAAAGCTTTCAGTTTTTCCCCACTGAGAATGATCTCAACTATGGATTTGTCATATATGGCCTTTATTATTTTGAGATACAGTCTCCTCTGCCCATTTTGAGAATTTTTTTTCATGAATATTGAATTTTGTAGTAAGCCTTTAGACTTCATAGATGGATGATAGACCTCAAGAACTTGGTTTCCCACATGGATTTTCATGCATTATTGCTCCATACTTAAAACTTTTTATACAAAATCTGTTTTGTGTATAACACTCATCTCCAAAAAAACCAATTCCTCCTCAAATCTCTGTGGTGGCATACACTGATTTCCACAGCCTTCCAAGGAGACAGCAGGGAATTCTGCCTTTCCAACAGCTACCCACAATGTCTAGATACACATGTAAAGCACTGCACCAACCTCAGGCACAGGTGCTGACATATTGAAGGAACACACGAATATTGCTGAATGAATATATGATGAGAAAGATGAATGCATGCGTGCATGCACATGAGCATATTTACCTTGTCATTAAATATCCTTCAAGTAGAAGGGAAAAAAAAAAAAAAAAAAAAAAAAAAGACCAAAATCTGGGTGAGTGGAGTGTTCCTTTAGGTCAGCAAACTACAGCCATGGATCAAATCCGACCCACTGCCTGTTTTTGTAAATGGAAGGCTTAATGGAACACTGCCACGTTCACTC